CAGCGCGGCGGCAGCAACCACAACGAGGCAGGCTCAGACCCTACGTCATCGCGCCGTGCGTGCTCTAGTCCCGCCCCCGGCGCCAGGGGGCGAGGGTGGCTCCGGCGGCTCCCATCCCCCTCCGCCCCCAGCAGCTGTTCCTGGGGCTGCGTCAATTTTCGCTTCTCTCTGACTGCTTGGCTCCGTACCCGTCCCCGAAACCAATCTCCCATCTCCGGCACCTCACCACATACACTGCGCCCGCCCGGTCTGGGTCTCAGTTCTTACCTGTGCAGTGTCTGACAGTCTTCTCAGTACCCTTTGACAAGCGGTCTATTTATATAAACCCATATCGGAATGAATCAGTCCCAAGATTAAAATATTAAAAGTCGTCCCCTTTATCCCTTCAAAATAAAGTCCTAGCTCGTTAATGAACCCTCCTTACCGCTCCAATCACTTCCTTATCCTCCCACATCACAGCCAGAGAGATTCTTCTTCCAGTTGTGTATTAGATTGTTCCATTTCTTTCCAGTCCAAGCACCGAAGTCCAAGCCACCATCATCCCTCACCCACTCTTCTGCAGTAGACTCTCAGCTGCTCCTGAGTTGATCATTGCCCACATCCAATCCACTGTTTGCAGAGTTGAGAGTTATCTTTTTAAAATTTAAATTGGATCATGTTATTCTCCTGTTAAAACCTTCAATGTCTCCTCAAGGCTGTCCTTAAAACAATCCTTAAGCAGGACACGGTGCCTCAAGCCTGTGATCACAAACTTTGGGAGGCAGAGGCGGGCGGATCATGAGGTCAGGAGATAGAGACCATCCTGGCTAACGCAGTGAAACACCGTCTCCACTAAAAATGCAAAAAAATAGCCGGGCATGGTGGCGCGCGCCTGTAGTCCCAGCTACTCGGGAGGCTGAGGCAGGAGAATCGCTTGAACCCGGAAGGCAGAGGGGTTTACAAATCCGACTCCCTTTTCTTTTCTTTTTTTTTTTTTTTTTTAATTTTTTATTGGATTATAGGTTTTGGGGTACATGAGCAGAGCATGCAAGACAGTTGCATAGGTACACACATGGCAGTGTGCTTTGCTTTTCTTCTCCCCTTCACCCACATTTGGCATTTCTCCCCAGGCTATCCCTCCCCACCTCCCCCTCCCACTAGCCCTCCCCTTTTCCCCCCAATAGACCCCAGTGTTTAGTACTCCCCTTTCTGTGTCCATGTGTTCTCATTTTTCATCACCCACCTATGAGCATTAGCAGCATTGTCCCCTCCTTCACAAATTCTAAACTCGGCTCTCTAAAGTGATGTTCGTTATCTGGAAGACTATTGGCTCTGCCTGGGGCCTTTGTTTCTCTCACAGAAACCAACTTCTCCCCAATCCCAAACTTTCTGCTTCTTGGGCGGACACAACTTCATTTCCCCTGGGGAGCCTCACCTTACCCTCCAGTCTGAGTTAGTCGCTTCCTCTGCGTTCTCAGACCCTGAGCTTTTCTCTGTCACAGCCTGATCAAGCTGAATCATCTGTCCCTCTGTGCAAGGCTGGCACACTGCCCAAGGTAGAGTATGCTCTCTCCTTGGTTGAATGAACAGCTCAAACAACATATGCAAAAGAAGGAAGCAAGAAGGATGACAGTGCTACTGATAGACCTTCATTCAGCAGGTGGATCTTGACTGCCTTTCGTTTTATTCACCATTTACTGACTTTGCGTGTGCATGTGCATACCAGACTCCACGCTAAGCACTGGGGAAAATAATGATCACACCTGGATTGTTCCTGATAGAACCCAGAGACCACCTGGGAAGACAAGTAATAAGATTAGTCATAAATCCACACCCTGCCACGGCCCCCAAGGTTTTTAGAGGAACCAGTAGACAGCGATTAGTTCATTTGGGTGAGGAACAGAAAGAATTCTTAGAGGTAGGGCTATATTAAACCCTTATGGGTCTGAGCACTCTTACTCTGCAGTCTCTATTCTATGAAGTCACTTTCTTATTTAAATGCACTGAAATTCAATACTAAATATCACCTTTTTGATATAAAATTTTTGAAAAGACTTATAATTTTTGGGCCGGGCATGGCAGCTCATGTCTGTAATCCCAGCACTTAGGGAGGTCGAGGGTGGGCAGATTACTTGAGGTCAGGGGTTCGAGACCAGGCTGGCCAAGATGTTGAAACCCCATCTCTACTAAAAATATAAAAACTAGCCAGGTGTGGTGGTGCATGCCTGTAGTCCCAGCTACTTGGGAGACTGAGGCAGCCAGATAGCTTGAACCGTGGAGGTGGAGGTTGCAGTGCAGTGAGCTGAGATTGTGTCACTCTGCTCTAGCCTGGGTGAGGGAGTAAGGCTCAGTCTCACACACACACACAAAAAAAAAGAAGGAAGGAAGAGAGAGAGAAAGAGAGAAAGGAAAGGAAAGAAAAGGAAAAAGGAAAGGAAAGGATTAGGATTCATGATTTTGGTTTTGGAATTGTTGGGCTTCCAGGAAACTCATTTAATTTATGACTGGCTAAATTTACCAGAAATTGGAGGTACTCTGAAATTTTTGCAAAGTGAGAAAATGTACCCCACAAATTATTTTCACACCTAATGAAATTTTTATAAATAAAAATTATTTGACATAATATTTACACAGTGCTAGAATTTGTAGACATAGTTTCTTTGTGTTTGGAGACAGGGTCTCACGGTGTCACCCAGGCTGGCTCAATTGAGGCTCACTGCAGCCTCAACCTCCTGGGCTCAGGTGAGCCTCCTGCCTTGGCCCTCTCTAGTAACTAGAACTACAGGTGTATGCCACCATGCCCTGCATATATATTTTTTTTTTTTGTAGAGACAAGGTCTTGCCATGTTGCCCAGAGTGGTCTCAAACTCCTGGGCTCAAGCGATCCTCCCACCTCAGTCTCCCAAGTTGCTGGGATTACAGGTGTGAGCCACTGTACGCCTGGCCAGACATAGTTTTATTTATTTATTTTATTTTCATTTTTATTTTTTGAGACAGAGTTTCGCTTGTGTTGCACAGGCTAGAGTGCAATGGTGCAATCTCGGCTCGCTGCAACTTCCACCTCCCTGATTCTCCTGCCTCAGCCTCCTGAGTAGCTGGGATTACAGGCACCTGCCCCCATACCTGGCTAATTTTTTGTATTTTTACTAGAGACAGAATTTCACCATGTTGGCCAGGCTGGTCTCAGACTCCTGACCTCAGGTGATCCACCCACCTCAGCCTCCCAAAGTGCTGGGATTTACAGGTGCGAGCCACCTCACCAGGCCAGATTTGTTTTTTAAAGTTTGTTTCATACTTCTTTCCACAGTGGATAACACTGACACAAGCCCTTGAAAAGTCCTATGGCACCTTATGAAAAGAAGTGATATCACTAAGTCTAAAACTTGCTTGGTTGTTTGCCAGAGATGAGAGGAGCATTTGAAGCCTGTTAATGGTTTGTTCATGGTCGCTGCCTTCAAATAGCTCAAAGTCAAGTAAATGAGACAAGTTGGTGAACAATTAGCAGGACTACATTCAGACCTTTATTCTACCTTTATTTTTAATGCTAATTAAATGATCTTTTGCTTCCATGAGCATGTACACACACACACACACACACACACACACACACACACATATATATTTATCACTGCCTCACAAAGGTACAGCTTTAGACCTCTGTGCCTGGTGAGAGAATAACTGTTACATATTCCCCTGAACTCAGGGGAAATGATATTTTAGAAAAGGTGAATGGTTATTGACCATTATTTCATTGTGGATGAGTAAAACACCAGCTACAATTTAAAAAAAAATAGTCTTTTTTTTTGAGATGGCATCTCACTCTGTCACATAGGCTGGAATGCAGTGGCACAATCTTGTCTCACTGCAATCTCCACTTCCTGGGTTCAAGTGATTCTCGAGCCTCAGCCTCCCGAGTAGCTGGAATTACAGGCAGGTGCCACCGTGCCCAGCTAATTTTTTGAATTTTTATTAGAGATGGTATTTCACCATGTTGGTCAGGCTGGTCTTGAACTCCTGACCTCAAATGATCCACCCGCCTTGGCCTCCCAAAGTGCAGGGATTACAGGCATTAGCTACCACACCCGGCCATGTGGTCTTGATAATAATGAATAAAACTACTACAATAAAATAGTATATTTATGTAGTGCTTCCTATGTGTCAAGCACTATCCTAGGTGCTTTACTTCTGTTCATTTAATGCTAATTAAGTAATCTACAGAGTGACTAGGGCCTAACACAAAGTCATGGCTCTTTTGGATACTCTCAAACTAATCAGATGTGAAAATGATATTGTTTTTGGCTCAAGTTGAATAATAACCATCATAGTAAATACCTATAAAACACTCTCTGTATGACAGCATGTGTTTTATTTGTCCTTTCTAGTAATCCGTTCAACCCTGAAGACTCTATGAAATGGACACTACTGATATTCCCCATATTACAGATGATGTAAGATATAAACAGATGTGCTAGTACTAGCTCATATGAGCCAATTGTTAAAATTTTGGGGATTGTGTGACCTAGTTGTTAAATATAGTTATCATTAAAAATTACATTATATAAACTCACAGTTAAATAGGTATATTAAAGACAAACATAATAAATACCCCAAACTTGTGGCTTTCAAACTACTTTACTATATTTCATTAATATCTGTGTTATTGAGGTTATTTCCTTCTACTGTATCTCTGTGGTAGAAATACTTTATAATGACAGGCCACTGAACATCTCTCCCTAATTCTGTGTTTAGTGATGCCAGATTGGTAGCTTGAAATTGCCTATGGTGACAGCATTTCTGCCTAGGAAATCAGCAAATGTTTCAGGACTTGATTAATTGTTTTGTTGATTTGATTGTTTACACTTAACTAAGTGACTCCAACTCCAGCCTGGCATTTTACATTCCAGCCACATCACAGTGCTTTCCATAGCCTCAATTTTCAGTATGCCTTTCCACCTCTATCCTCTAACCGTTTGCCGTGCTGTTCCCTTCTGTTGAAATCAAGCATCTTTTAAGATTTTTAGATCCTTTTGTAATTCATAAGCATGAAGACTTGGTATTTATGTGCATGTGTGAGATGTGCCACCCTGGAACCTTGTTACGACGTCATCACATTACAGGTCTGACTTGAAAAATTATCCTGAAATATCACTTTCTTCATGAGGTTGTCTCTGATTTCATTCAGTTGGAATATATACAATGATTAAAAATGGGATATATTATTATATTATGTATATCTACTGCTAATCATATATGAATATTTTAACACAATTAGTTTTCTTATTTTTAAATTTAATTTTACAGGCAGGGTCTCCCTCCATCACCCAGGCTGGAGTGCAGTGGAAAGATCATAGCTTACTGCAACATTGAACTCTTGGGGTCAAGCAATCCTTCTGCCTCTGCCTCCTAGGTAGCTGGGACCACAGACATATACCACAACACCTGGCTAATTTTTAAAATTTTTGTAGAGCAAGGCATGGTGGCCCACACCTGCAATCCCAGCCTCCCAAAGTGCTGGGTATACAGGCATGAGCTACCTCACCCTGCCACAGTTGTTAGTGTGTATAATCACAACTGCCATTTATTAGAAAGAATGAGACACATAAGAGACCTGGAAGGTATAGTGATAGTCATCTTTTACAGAAATGGAAATATGGCTTCAGAGAGATTAAGTAACTTGCCTGATGTCACATGGCAATTCACAGGTAAAGAGAATGGGACAAGGCTTATCTTGAATGCCTTTGGCATAAACGTGTATTCCCATGTAAGGAAGTAGCTATTCAGTGATCTTCTTCCTAACCTGGTTTTGAAAAAGAGGCCTTGGGAAGTGCCCCTAGACGAAAGAGTGTGACCTGATTATAAAACATACTTTAAAATGGAATATTGGGACCAGGCGTGGTGGGTGGCTCATGCCTGTAATCCCAGCACTTTGGGAGGCTAAGGTGGGCCAGGAGTTCGAGACTAGCCTGGCCAACATGGTGAAACCTTGTCTCTACTAAAAATACAAAAACAGCTGGATGTGGTGGGGCTTGCCTGTAGTCTCAGCTATTTGGGAGGCTGAGGCATGAGAATCGCTTGAACTTGGGAGGTGGAGGTTGCAGTGAGCTGAGATTGTGCCACTGCACTCTAGCCTGGGCAACAGAGCCAGACTCTGTCTCAAAAAAAAAAAAAAAAGAAAAGAAAGAAAAAGAGGGCACCAGGCGCAGTGGCTCATGAGGGCAGATCACTTGAGGTCAGGAGTTCGAGACCAGCGTAGCCAATGTGGTGAAACCCCATCTCTACTAAAAATACAAAAATCAGCTGGGCATGGTGGCACACACCTGTAATTCCAGCTACTCAGGAGGCTGAGGCAGGAGAATCACTTAAACCTGGGAGGCAGAGGTGGCAGTGAGCCAAATCACACCACTGCACTCCAGCATGGGTAAGACTTCATCTCAAAGAAAAAAAAAAGGTTTGAGAAACATTGGTCTAGAAAGGTTAAAAAGTCTTGGAGGAGATGATACTCAAGTTTTGTTTGAGGAGGAGGAAGAACAGCTAGGTGGGGTGGGACTGACTGTAGACAGAGGAGGACTCAGGGAAAGAGGAGAGCTTCGATGAAGGCATGTAGAGAGAAATGTCATGATACACTGGAAAACTACACATAGAACATATTTAGATTCTTGGTAACATTTAGACATCTAAAATATTAATTATGGTGATTATAGTATTCTACAGAAAAATAAGGAGTTAAAACTGCCTGTAGTTCTCTTCCTGGAGAAAATAATTATTTTTCATCTTCAGCTCCCCAAATGTGAGAAAATTTTAAAATAAAAATAAAATAAAGGAGAAGTATGTATAATTATATACATAGATGTTCACTGAAGACCATCTCAAAAATAGCTATCTGTTTAATCATAGAGAAATGATTAAGTACAGTAATCATATATTCATTCCATGAGGTTATTTTCTGAAATGGTCATACTCCACAATGTCAGTTTCTATGCTCTTACATTGCTTTGCTTTTCTTGATAACACCTGACATTTTACTATATATGAATTGTTCATTGCATGTCTCTTCCACTGGAATTAAGCTCACAGGGCAAGGGCCTTCTTTTATTCACTACTAGCAAGCCTCAGCATCTAAAATAGAGTCTAAGCTGGGCACAGTGGCTACTCAGGACACTGAAGTAGGAGGATTGCCTGAGCCCAGGAGCTGAAGGCTACGGTGAGCTATTATTCTGCCACTGCACTCTAGCCTGGGCAATAGAGAGAGACCCTATCTTCAAAAACTATATAAAAATAAAACAAGAGGCTGGGCACAGTAACTCATGCCTATAATCCCAGCACTTTAGGAGGCCAAACCAGAAGGGGTTAGAGACAAGCTTGAGCAACACAGGGAGACCCAGTCTCTACAAATAATAAAAAAAAAGTTAGTGGAGCGTAGTGGCACATGCTTGTGGTTTCAGCTACTCTGGAGGCTGAAACAGGTGGATTGTTTGAGCCCTAGAGTTTGAATCTGAGAGCTTGAGGCTGCAGTGAGCTGTGATCACACCACTGCATTCCAGCCTGGGCAACAGAGAGAGACCCTATCTCTTTATTTTATTTTATTTTTTTCTGTTGATTATGAGCTTCAATAGACCCTGTCTCAAAAGAAAAGAAAAGTCTAGCACATTGTAGGAACTGTATAATTGTTGGCTATGTGCATGAATGAAACATGAAAATTTTGTTCTTGACAGTATAGAAAAAAAAATGAAAGAAAATTTATTGGGATATAATACTTAGTTAAAAATACAGAAAATACAATGAAATGTGTTCTCTCATTAAAACAATGGAAAAATGACATGCTGATAGAGACTAGAATTGTGGAACTTAGAGACAATGTTCACCAAGGTAATACAGAAAAATCAAAATGATTCAATAGGAGAGGATTGTCAGCAATGTTCTCTTTCTTTCTCACTTAATATTATTGTTTCAAAATGGTTTTGCAATGAAAAAAATTAGAAAAATGAGGGTGAAGTTACGGATAGAATAGTATGTTTGTCAAGCTTATTTTTGACAAATGGGGCTCTGTATTCCAAGATGGGAAGGGATAGTCCTTAGTGCTTTCAGAGAAAGAAAAGTACAGAAAAGTAGAATGATTTGCTTAGTGTGTGAATAATAGGTAACAGAACACTGGGCAATTTTTGTAGAGACAGGGTTTCGCTATGTTAGCCAGCCTGGTCTCAAACTTCTAAGCTCAAGTGATCTGCCTGCCTTGGCTTCCCAAAGTGCTGGGATTATAGGCATTAGCCATCACCCCCAGTGTTCTTCATCTTTTAAAACTCAACGCTGCAGTCATTTCTCTGGGAAGCCCACCCTGATCCTCCCTCTTCCCCACTATAGGTATTTTCTAGTCACGGCTATACAGTGTTCTGCCACCATTTGGTACACTTCCCTATTAACATCTAGGATTATCTTTGAAGGTATCTACTCACCTTATTAGACTGTGGGCTATCCCAATTAGTTTTCCTTTCCCCTTGAATCTGAGCAGACTCTGTAACTGCTTTGATGAATAAAATATGACAGAAATGATGCTGTTTCAGTTTCCAAACCCAGACCCTAAAAGACTGAAAGCTTCCACATCCTATTTCCTGGAACACTGCTTCTTGGAGTCCTTAGGTGTCATGTAAGATATCTGACATTTCTTCTGGAGAGACCTCATGGATAGGCATTGAGACTAGAAGGACCGGGATGAGCCTAGCCTTCATGAGAGGATGAAGGGCCCTGCTGAGTCAGCCTTTCAATTGTCCTTGCCAATATGTCAGTCATGGAAGTGGAGCAGTCTTAGAACCTCCAGACTGTCCCAACTGCTAGCTGAATACCATCAACTGACCCCAGTTAATTCCAGGTGGAGCAGAATTGGCAATCTAAGAAGCCTCACCCCTAATATTGGCCCACAAAATTGAGAGAAATAATGCATTTTTTAAAATAAAGCAATTAAGTTTGGAGAGAGTTTGTTACACAACTGATAACTGGAACAGAATTTGATACCTGGAAATGGGGTGCTTCAGCAACTGTAACCACCCAATGGGTTCACCTTGCCCGCTGCCTAGACAGAGCCGATTTATCAAGACAGGGGAATTGCAATAGAGAAAGTGTAATTCACACAGAGTCAGCTGTGCGGAAGACTGGAGTTTTATTATTACTCAAATCAGTCTCCCCAAGCATTCAGGGATCATAGTTTTTAAGAACAACTTGGTAGGTGAGGAGAAGCCAGTGAGCTGGGAGTGCTGATTGGTCTGGTCAGAGATGAAATCATAGGGAGTTAAAGCTGTCTTCTTGCGCTGAGTCAGTTCCTGGGTGGGGGCCACAAGATCAGATGAACCATTTTATCAATCTGAGTGGTGCCAGCTGATCCATCAAGTACAGGGTCTGCAAAATATCTGAAGCACTGATCCTAGGAACAGTTTAGGGAGGGTCAGAATCTTACAGCCTCCAGCAGCAGGACTCCCAAACAATAATTTCTAATCTTGTGGTTAATCTGTTACTTCTACTTTTTGCCCAGGCAAAAAGGAGGTTTGTTTTTGGAAAGGGCTGTTATCATCTTTGTTTTAAACTATAAACCATGGCCAGGCGCAGTGGCTCATGCCTGTAATCCCAGCATTTTGGGAGACCGAGGTGGGCAGATCACTTGAGGTCAGGAGTTTGAGACCAGCCTGGCCAACATGGTGAAACCCTACCTCTACTAAAAATACAAAAATTAGCCGGGTTTGGTGGCATGCACCTGTAATCCCAGCTACTCAGGAGGCTGAGGCAGGAGAGTCACTTGAACCCACGAGGCAGAGGTTGCAGTGAGCTGAGATTGCGCCATTGCATTCCATCCTGGGTGACAGAGAAGGCTCCATCTCAAAACAAAACAAAACTATAAACCAAGTTCCTCCCAAAGTTAGTTCAGCCTATGCCCAGGAATGAATAACTAAGATATCTGACCTAACTAACTCCATCTTGCTTGGAGGTTAGAAGCAAGATGGAGTTGGTTAGGTCAGATCTCTTTCATTGTCTCAGTTACAACTTTGCAGTGGTGGTTTCACAACAACCCAAAATATATGACATTGGCTTTGGGACTGAGCAATGGGTGGAGATTTGAAGGGTCTTGAGGAGTCTATTACT